ATATAAATATAAATATAAATATAAATATAAATATAAATATAAATATAAATATAAATATAAATATATACATTGCTTGTCTGTAGTAAGTGGTTTCTCTTTCTCTGATTTGTATTTGTTCTTTGAGTTTGTTGACGACGGCTTCGTTCTCTTTAGCTAGCTGCGCTCTGGCGAGATCTAGCTGCAGCTGCTGCTGCTCCTTCATTGCTGCTGCTTGTGCTTCTGCTGCTGCCAGACGGACCTATACAGCAGCAGCACCAGCAGCAGCAGCAGCAGCAGCAGCAGCAGCAGGAACAGCAGCAGCAGCAGCAGCATAAAAAACAAAATAAAATAACCGAGACACAACACACACACAAACAGCAGCAGCAGCAGCAGCAGCAGGAACACACAGAGCAGCACTAACAATCACACAAACAGCAGCACCAGCAGCAGCAGCAGCAGCAGCAGCAGCAGCAGCAGCAGCAGCAGCAGCATACCTTGAGGTCTTGTGCTGAGTCTGGCGTCGATTCAGTTTTGGAGAAAAGCTGCATCAGCTGCTGCGTTAGTTTGTCTTTGCTCTGCACACAAACCCTAAACCCTAAACCCTAAACCCTAAACCCTAAACCCTAAACCCTAAACCCTAAACCGTAAACTCTAGATTCTAATGATTTGAGGCGAAGTGAATGCAGGAACTCTAGGGTTTAGATATTAGGGTTTAGGGTTTGGGGGCAGGGTTTGTGCTAAACCCTAAACCCTAGAAATAAAGTAGGGTTTAGGGTTTAGGGTTTAGGGTTTAGGGTTTAGGGTTTGTGGGTACTTCAGTAAGGTCTTTAACGGTTGCTTCTAGTTCTGCATTATGTTTGATGAGTTGATTGATTTGCTGCTGCTGCTGCTGCTGCTGCTGCTGCTGGTCCCCTGCTTTCTGCTGCTGCTGCTGCAGCAGCTGCAGCTGAGACAAAGACACAGCCTGCGCCTTCTCCAGTCTCTTCTTCAGCCGCAGCGCGTCGTCCAGCTCACTCTCCAACTTTTTACACATACACACACAAACCACCGTCGAGGGTTTATGGTTTAGGGTTTAG